AACACTAGGAAGTATGCTTTAAATGCTTTTATATGATTTTTTGAAACTGGATCCCTATTAGATACTGAAGGGGATACTTCTGAATATTATTTATAAAGTTGTTACTGATATGTTTTTCACCCTTTTGGAGCATTGTCCTTACTGGTCTTTATCTTACAGAGTTTACATGCTCTACAGTTGGAGGTAATTGGGTACTTCATGATTGTAAGATCAAGACTTTCTTTTTTTTTTTTTTAAACTTTTTTTTTTTAATTTTTATTTATTTATGATAGGCACACAGTGAGAGAGAGAGAGGCAGAAACACAGGCAGAGGGAGAAGCAGGCCCCATGCACCGGGAGCCCGACATGGGATTCGATCCTGGGTCTACAGGATCGCGCCCTAGGCCAAAGGCAGGCGCCAAACCGCTGCGCCACCCAGGGATCCCGATCAAGACTTTCTAATTCCCTTTTACTATCTACTCTCCTGTGTTTGTAGAAGCTTTCCTGTTCTAGAAGACAACAATTGATAAATACCATCTACAATAAGGTTAATATTTTTGAAAATATTTATTGTATTTCCTAAATAAAATTCCCCCTCAACTCCCTCATTCATTAAGTCAAGGTCATTCATTGCTTGAAGAACAAATTAGATTTTGTCTAGAGTAGGTTCTCAAAGTGTGTTCTCTGATCAGCAGCAGCATCATCAGCTGGAAACCTCTTAGAAATCCAAATTTTCAGGCCCCATCCCTGTCCTACTGAATAGGAAACTCTTCTGGTAGGGGCCAAGCACTCTTGTTTTAACAAACTTTCCAGGTGATCCTGAGAAGCACCTAAGTTTGAGAATATAGGTGTAGAACAAATTATTGCTTAGCTTTAAGCCTCAAAGCTGACATTCTTGACCCTCTAGAAAAACAACAGCTGCAAAAACCAGGTTTTATTGAATAAGAGAAAGAATTTCTTAATAGAAAAGCTTATCTTTGCATATGAAGTGAAAACCATACTACTCTGAAAATAGGATTTTACTAAAAGCTATAGTATAGAGAACATGCAGGATATGGCATAAGGAGAGTCCCCTGCAAAGAGGAAGAAGTAGTGAGTACAAAGTCCTTCCAAACCTAAGAGGAAGAGAAGAGAGATATAGAGACCAGTGACCTTGCATCTCCCCTTCATGGTGGAAATACCTGGGGAAGTGGAGAGAAGAAAGAAGGCAGTAGTAATAGAAACACCTCAGTATAGCAAGTCTTTTTTGATTCAGAGAGTACAGGTCTAGAAATTGATAAGCCATACAAAGAAGTCACACATTTGGCTTGGAATCATAACCAACTTGGTGCCCGAGCGGTGGAATGGGAATGGCTATGACATGGGTTAAAGAGAAATTCACAGTGTGAGGAAAGGAGGCTGACTCCCAGGCTCCTTGGGTGGCTTGGAAGAGAGAACAGGTGCATAGCATTAGCTATCTAGACATAGGGTGGGACACCTGGGTGGCTCAGCAGTTAAAACATCTGCCTTCAGCCCAGGGCATGATCCTGGAGTCCTGGAATTGAGTCCTGGGATCAGGCTCCCTACAGGGAGCCTGCTTCTCCCTCTGCCTCTGTCTCTGTCTCTCTCTCTGTTTTTCACGGATAAATAAATAAAATCTTTAAAAAAAAAAAAAAAGGATAGGGCCGGGGTCGGGATCTCTGGGTGGCTCAGTGGTTTAGTGCCTGTCTTTGGCCTGGGGTTTGATCTTGGAGTCCCAGGATCGAGTCCCACGTCGGGCTCCCTGCATGGAGCCTGCTTATCCCTCTGCCTGTGTCTCTGCCTCTCTCTCTCTGTTTCTCTCGTGAATGAATAAATAAAATCTTTTTTTTTTTTTAAAGGATAGGGCAGGGGCCTGGTCAAGGAGGCTACACAGTAAAAGGATCTCTGGGGTCCTCAGAAGAGAGGGGAGCCACCTTGGGATCCCAAAGGGGCTACCAGCCGCACATCTGGACAAAGGCTTTGGAACTAAATATTTTCTAGAAAGAGACTGCTGTCTCTTAGAATCTGGTGGGATGGGCTCTTTAAAGCAAGATAAGTTACAATGAAGAAAAATAGTTGTAGTTTCCATACACTCCAATCTGTTACTGTTAACTTGAGATCCTTCTGATCATGCTCCTTTGGTCTACAAATGATTTTATCTTATCCACAATGCACGGACAATAGCAGGAAACATGAAACAGGGAGAACATGCACGGTGTTGTCGGTGCTCGCTCAAGTTTTAAGCTGCGGCTTGGAAACACTCGGCATCTTTCTAGCTGTCACCACCTTTTTGAAGTCCTTTAGATACTTAATAATTTACTGAAAGGCTTCCAGTGTTCATACTCTTGGAAGATTTGTAGGAACTATGTGATCCCTAAACATCCTCTCATTGTGGCTTCCTGGTTCCTTCTGCTGTAATTCTCCAAATTTCTTCCCTGCTTCTAGTCTATCTGTCCACTATGTGACCCATTTCCACAATAGGAATCACTGAAAACAAACAGATAAAAAATAAAAATGAAAACTTCATCTTCCCTGTCTGACATCGCGGCCTCCTAGATCTCTGCTAAAACTCAGTGTGCTGCTGGGCACAGCCCAGTCACAGCTCTGCGGCAGCTGCAGCTGCAGGAACCTCCTGCAGGTGCGAGTGCCCTGCTGGCTTACGGGGTAAGCCAGGGACTCACAGGAGACCCAGCAGAGAGCCACATGCCTCAAATGCATGGGGCTGTGATGTGACATTTGGCACAGTATGCAATTTCTAGCTTATTAGAAATGTCACACTTGTAGCCTCCCCCCGTAACAGAATCTTAATTAAAATGGAAATGGTTTCTTTACTTCGAAAAGCAGAGATAACATACTCAAATGAACTCGGAACATTCAATTGTTAGGAGTACTTCCTGGCTTGCGTTCTGTGCCTGACACTTCAAAGACAGCCTCGTGGTTAAAACACAGTAAGTGCTGAGGTATTTTTGCAAATGCATGCGGTCCTCCCATGTTTTCAAGGTATGCCCCTCCTGAAACTGATTTTTATATTAGCCCTATAATAGATATTGCTTTAGGTGGAAACATCTATTCGTGTGGCACCTGAAACAACCCAAAAGAGAGAGATACATGTTCACGGAAATGGATATGCAGACAGGATGCCCTAAGCCCTATTTATTTATTGGTGTTTGCTGATCTTAAAACAAGCAAACAAAAAAACCAAAGAGACACTAAGAGCTGGCAGCAGAAGGATGCCTTTTCATTTCTGTCCCAGGCCTTCAGTCTATGCCCTAGTGCTAGTGAATGCACAATATATTTCTGCTGAATGGAGGAATGAGTTTATGGATGAGTTTATGGATGAATGGATGAAGGAGGGATAAAATTATAAAGGAGAAGGAGAATGACAGAAATCTTGCAATGCAATGTCAAGGTGGGAGATAAGTAACAGGTTATAGAACGAAATATTATAGGTGCTCACTGTTTAACTGAAGAAATAAAGAACAGAGAATCAATTGAATATCAATTAATTCTGGTTAGAAAACCGTTTTAATTATAAGAGGAAAATAAAATGTTTGTTGATGTCTTAACCAAATGTTATTTTCCTTGTTATAGAATTATTCTTAAGGGGCACCTGGGTGGCTCAATTAGTTAAGTGTCTGCCTTCAGCTCAGATTATGACCCAGGGTCCTGGGACTGAGCCCTGAGCCAGGTTCCCTGTTCAGCTCCCCCCGCCCCCACCCCGAATCCTTTTCTCTCAAATAAATAAAAAGAATTATTCTTAAGAGGAATCAATGCAAAATTATAAAAATTAATTGTACATTACAATTTATATGGTATATAACTAGAGTATGTATACTTACAAAGCTCCAGGAAGGAATCATAGATATATTATGGTGCAGTGGAAGATTTAGTTCATTTAATTAAGAATCAGGAAATTTGGATTCTAGTCCTGGTTATATAACTATGATTGTGACATTGTGCAAGTCATATGTTCTTCTGGAGTATAGATTTCTCACCTGAAAAATGAGGCATTATCAACCATGTTTCTTGAAGCCCTGGATATTCTTTGGTACAAATTTAAACAGCCCCACTTGTTTTTTTTTAATTCAAGTATAATTAACATGTATGTTACAAATGGTAAGATTTCATTTTTTATGGCTGAATAATATTCCATTGTATGAATATACCAGATCTTCTTTATCCATCCATCCATTAGTGGACACACTTAGGTTGCTTCCACATCTTAGCTAGCTGCTATACACATAGGAGTGCATATATCTCTTTGAATTAGTATTTTCATTTTCTTGGGGTTAATATCTAGTAGTAGAATTACTAGATCATATGATATTTCTATTTTTAATTTTCCAAGGAGCCTCCATACTGTTTTCCATAGGGGCTGTACCAGTTTGCATTCCCAGCAACAGTAAGCAGCTCCATTTTTATGCTTTACAGTTGGGGTCTTAGGCAAGAAGTTTCCATAAGAAGAAATGGAACTCTGGCTAAAACGCCCTGACAATACTGGCCGCATGGATCCCTAGATTTTACTGATCTAAATATTCAGATAATACATTAATTATTTGAGAATCGTTTTTGGTTCTTAACTTCAGGAGGATTTTCAAAATGTTGAATAAGTGGTATGACACCAGGGAAAGAAAGCAGTGAACCAGTTCATACTGGCTGGATATTGGCTCTGCCCTGGTGAGGAGTGGGTCTTCCAAAGAGATGACAGCATGACTTCCAGAACAGCTTTCACTGTTGCTGCTCAAGGAACTGACCAGCTTAACATGCCATCCAAGGAAATCAGAACTTAGCTGCCTGTGTGGATAACATCCGCAATCATACCACAGAAACAATCGTCCCATTGACTGGATACAATTCAGCTTGAAATAGTGAAAAAAATACATGATCCTGCATGTCATGAAACCCTGTGAGGTCAACTGCAGAAGTAAGAGCAAATGAAGTGTGCACAGAGGCCCTTTGGGAACTGTAAAGTTTTGGCTTTGTATCAATGAGTGATGGTGTTATGTGAAATGCATGCCTACCTCATTGTTGCAGAAGCAGTAAATCACGGCGACGAAGAATCCCTAAAGAGAGGAGGAAAAAGAGAATTGAAGTTATTTTTGTGTGCATTATGTTGTTTAGGAATCTATATAAATAGACAGCCTGGAGAGGAACATGTCACTATTGCAATAGCAAGTCAAGGCTCAATGAAAGACAATTACTAGTGCACTCATATTCAGTGCTTCACTACAAGAATATTCTAGTTTAAGATGGATATGGCTTCCAGCTTGGGGTCCAGTGGAGGCATTTCATACTGCTAGAAACATCTGCTTCTCTGCCCTGTGTTTTCATGGCATTTATGACTATGATGATAGCAATCCAGGTTGGGAAACTGATTGGCATTGGCTATGTTGATCTCCAAAACTCCCCTTAATGAAGGGAAAATGTGGCCCTCAAATCCTGGAGAGAGGAGGGAAAAATCAAAAGGACAGTGGGAATAGAAGTTCTGTCCCCAGTACTCAGGACTGTGCTGTGGGTCCATCCTCGGTCAAATATTTGTCCTCAGAAAGATGTGTTCTCAAAGTTCATATTCCCTTCGTTTCCTTCCCCAGTTTTGAAATTCAAAAAAGGGGGGGGGGCTGGCAGTGAGAAGGAGACCCTTCCAGGTTACATCTACCTTCTAATCACAGATGAGCCTTAGAAAATGGCTCACCCTACATTAACCTGCTGAGTAAGTAGTTGAATAAATAAACCTCTGGTTTATTTACCTGGAAATGAATCAGAGAGTGCATCAGGTAATCGTATATCTTCCCAAGCATCTTGTTCGAAGGCCTCCAGGGAAAGACGACAAACTGGATCCCCAGCAGGGGCACCAGGATCAGAGTGGCCCTCACCGCCTTCAGGTACATGTGGGATTCGGCTTCCTGGGTTTCCCTCATTTTGCTCACGAGCACGCGGACGATGTTGAGCAGGAAGAAGAAATTGACCTGCAAAGACATGAGCTTATGAGGGAATCATCCAGGTGGGAATGACTTAAGGACGCCCACTTTCCTCAGTTCTTGTTAGTCTAGTTCTGGGACTAGGGTCAGGTGGTCTAATTCTCTCAGCATTACCAGCTGCATCCATATAACCAAAGACTCTTGTCAGACCTGAATTCACATTTCCTTTTTTTTTTTTTTGTCCAAATGATAAAATATTTTTTTTTCCTGTAGCGGTAAATAGATTAGGTGCAATTCTAATGAGAGCGGTTTATTCTTTGATTTTTATGATTTTTACAAAGGAGAGTCATAAATGACACTTTTAGATCTTGCTTTCTGGTCATTTCATTACAAGGATTATTCCTCTTAGGCAGGACTACATCACTGAAAGTGAAATGCAGACCAAAAAATGTTATCTGTAAAGTTGATGTAGTGGAGACAGATAACCCAGCCTTCTTCTTTGTAACATTTTTTAAGGGAAATAACTTCATTGAGGTATAAGGCTCATTCAGTAAAATGGAGATTTTAAGTTTATATTCAAGAAGCTTACAGAAATGTATGTGTCTCTGTAACAACCACTCCAAATAAGCAAAGAGCATTTTCATAACCCCAGAAAGTTCTCTTCTGTTCCTTTGCAGTCAACCACCCTCTCCCCTCCACCTCAAGCAACCGCTAATTACATAGTACATACTCATTTGTGTCTGGCTTCTTTGATTTGACATATTATCTGTGAAATTCATCCATGTTGTATATATTAGCATGTCATTCATTTTTATTGCTGAGTAGTACTCCCTTTCATGGATAACACACCGTATTTGTTTATTCATTCTATTGTTGATGGAAATTGGCATGGTTGCCACAATTTGACTATTGTGAATAAATATGCTATGAATATTTGTATACAAGTCTTTGTGTGGACATATGTTTTAATTTCTCTTGAATAAGTGCCCAGGAGTAGATTGCCTGTTGACATGGCAAGCATATATTTAACTTTGTAAGAGGCTGCCAAACTGTCTTCCAGAGAGGTGGCTTCATTTTATGTTCCCTCCAGCTCTAGTTGAGAATTCCAGTTGTTCTTTACCCTTGCCAACACTTGGGATGGTCACACTTTTTAATATTAGCCATTCTGGTGCATCCCAAACTATTTTCGGCTGTGAAAATTCGTTTTGAAACTGGAGTTGTTTTTAAAATTGAATTGATGATTTATTTTTAAATGATTAGAATGATTTTTCTACCTGGAATAGAAGGAAACATTGTTGCCAAAAAAAATTCAAGGAAGGAAAGAGACCTTTGGTAATTATTAAACTCTTATGAGGTATTGGCAATATTCAAGACCCACATCAGCGGGTCCTGGTGAGGACAGTCGGGTGGTAAGTCTGTCACTGCTCTGGAGGAGAGCAAAAGAAATGGACTTTACTCTGGAGAGATTGGGGCAGTGGGAAGTCAGGCTGGATGATATACTTGGGTTGGTTGCTTACTAATGGATATTTCTTCCAAACATGAGCAGAACATGGTTTATGACTCAGATTGTTTTTATTTTTCTCATTCCTACCCACCTTTGAGGCTAGTGGGCCAAATAATGTCTAAATATTAAATGTGATAGTTGTGATGCTGGCCAGCACATAGTAAACCTTAGGTAAAAACAAAGAGCTTGGAGATAGATGCAGATGGTCATATTTTACCCTACTTTTCACTAGTCACATGATTTGGGGTGAGTTAGTTCTTGTGTTTTTGGGTCTAGTTTTCCCAGTGAGTAAAAGTAGTCCTGATATATCTCCTTTGAAGTGCTGCTGTTAGGAACAGCCTGGCAATGTATGTGAAGTGCCTGAAATACTTTTAAGTGCATCCTCAGTGGCAGGTCTAACGACAGCTCACATACCAAAGATGAAATGAAAGATCATTTTGTTTGGGAAAAAAAAAAAAAAACAGGGAAAAAGGGGCAGAGGGATTGTGTGGTTTTTCACTTTCTTTAGCAGTAACATCTTACCATTCTTCAGCCCCTTGGTCTCTACCTTTAATGAGGAGCATTTTGGTATAGGATTGGTTAAGGAAAGCTATATTTTAGTTATGGTGGGTGTAGAAATGAACTTATGCCCCTTCCCCGACTGTATTAAATAAAAATTATTTTTTAATTTGAAGATCCTCAAATTGAATTGTTACAGATTATCTCATTATAGATTACCATTACATTAGTCTAATTTTGAAGTTATGATACATAGGCTACCCAGAGCCATCTTTACAGAGATCTTCACAAAGAGATAACACTTAATAATGGATTTAAAAGCAATTCTCAACAACAACAGCAAAATAAATAAAAAGCAATTCTCACCACCAGTGCTGCCATGACGGGGCCATGGATGATATATAGCAAATGGGTTTCCACACTCAGCCAGCAGCTGAAAAAAAAAAGAGGGAAGGGACATAAATATAAGTGCATTTTATTTGCAAATATGTTCACTTAAAAACCACCAAAATACTTACTTGTCATTGAAGTACAGCGCCCTAGTAATCGCATGGATAGTGGTTGGCACCAGTGGGAACCCTAAAAATGTAAAAAAACAGAAATCACACCTGATTTTTTGGGCAGAAGCTGCAACTATGATTGCATGGAAAATGGTAGTTTATTTTCAAAAATAGTGGCAAATTTTAATATCTCTGTCAAAATACTTCCCTGATTTTTACACCAACTAGTTTTGGTCAAACCAAGTAAAAATGCTCTTGATTCTGTCTGTGGTGATGATGATGATGATGATGATGATGATGGCAAGACGACTATTAGTTGAGACCAGAAAGCTCTTCACTTCATGTGAACTGGACTTTAGTGGGGTCATCATGGAGGGAAGTGACCCCACATCTAATTTAATAGGGCCAGTAATGAAATGCTTGACCTGAGGGTATTTTGAGTTAGACTCTTTACCCAAAACATAATTATATTTTATTCATAGAGGTTCTAACATATCATTTGCCCACTTGGGTTTTAGAAATGGAAATTTGTTCTCTGGATTTATTATGAAACATACATTTTAGAATTAGACAGAAGGAGCATATGAAGATCTCACTCCCGCCTCATCATTTCATAGAGAGGAAGATGTGTTTCTTAATGTACAGAGGAGCACAGACCCTGTATCTACTAATTCCTGTGCTCGTTGCCTTGCTCTAGGCATGAAGCCTCTTTTTATGCAGTTTGTTTTCCCCTTCCTCTTCTTCCTATCCTCCAAGCTCCAAGAGCCATAACAGCCCTTCCTTTCACTGGTTAGTAAGGGTAAAAATAATCCCTTTTCGGTAGGATTCCTTATTTTTTTTTTTAAGGGGGACTAGTTACATTCTATGTGTTTGTTGCAAAAGTCCATGAGGGGCTTTTCCTTCTTTGATTTATAACAAGAGGAGAATCAGCAAGGCAAAGAATCAATCTGGAGAGGGTTGTAAAATACATGATTTTTTCTGAGAGCTAAACTTCACTATTTGAAGTTACTTCGATTTGAGAGAAGTCAACTAGTAAGTGGCTCCGTGCAGATTTGTAAGGGAACAACTACCAGAAGAAGATTCTTTTATTTTGTTGGGGAGAATTGCACTGCTAGATACTTTTTTTCCCAGAGGGTGATGTTCATAATGTCTCTTATAATTTTTAGGATCTGTTCCAGATCCCAGAGTGGGTAATAGTATTCACAGCTGAAATGAATGGATGGAATGTACATCACCTGCAAACAAAGGTAGGTCTTAGGAAGTAGCTTTCTTGGGCTAAATCTGCTGTCTCACTTTCAGACTCTTTTAAAAGCACAGGTTATGCCTTATTTCATGGCGCTGTAAAATTTAGGACCTATCATACTTTTTAGGTATGAAAATAATTTCAAAAGCACAATAAAACTATTATCCAGTGGAAATTTCTTCTTCTCTGCTCCATTACATTCTTTAAAGATCCTGTGACACTATTTTTCTTGAGGAGTTATTTCAGTTGTACTTTTACTTGTTTTCTTTCCATCCAAAGATCATGCTTGCCTAAAATGCTAAGACAGAACTATTGGTTTAAAATGCATCATTGTGGGGTGCTTGCGTGGCTCAGATGGCTAAGCATCTGCCTTCCATTCAGGTCATGATACCAGAACCCTGGAATTGAGTCCCACGTTGGGCTCCCAGTGCAGCAGGGAGTCTGCTTTTCCTTCTCCCTCTGCCTCTCCCCCTGCTTGTGCGCATGCTCTCTCTTAAATGAATAAATTAAAATCTTAAAAAAATACATCATCATGGTTGTTTCTCAATTTTGTTCTCAGAGATGGTAAAGAGTTTTGTAGAATTTTGGGGCGTGCACATGTACATATGCACATGCCTATGTGCGTAGAAGTAGAGAAAGATAGATTTAGGTTTGGCATGCTAAAAATAATTACATTTAGGACTGTATTGGTTGACTATCTGTCTTTCCAAACATCTATTTAGGGGGAAGTGCAAATCCTCACTCCTTTAAATTTATGATTCCACTTACCTTACTGAGGGCAATGTTCCTTGGGATCTCACTTCAATCATTCTGATAAAGTTTTAAGTATTTTCTGATTAAGAAAGGTTAAGGTATCCCATAAATATTTTTCCTTATTTTTATTACCTTCTTTTTGATACAGCTAAACATCTTGTTCCTTTTTCCCTTTGAATTATTTTTGCGTGTTAAGCAGATGTCTTCATTGAGCTATCTATGATGATAGCAAAAGTTCTATAACTAATTCACAATGCATCAGAATGGAAAGAGTGGTTATAAATGTTCCTTCCAGGGTGCCCTCATCTTTGCTGAATGTCACAGGCAGGAAGAAATTTATAGCCTTTTTTATTCCATGGAAAATTTTCTGAGTATGGCAGATAGATGTTTCTGAATAGTCAAAACCAGTGTAAGAAATATGCCATAATTTTTAAGAGAAGCAAATAAAATACACCAGTAAGAAATGCGGGGTGTGTGTGTGTGTGTGTGTGTGTGTGTGTGTCACATCAGGGGTGGGATGTTATTTCTAGGTCCTCAGTTGGAAGGCATCTGACCAATACCCATCATTAGCATTGTGATGATCAGAATTACTGTTGAGGGACATGAAACTGTATTCAGCTGACTCCTGGTATGATTAGCTTTGGAAGGCTAGAAATCTCTGACAAGGTGTGTATGAGGCTGAAAAGGTCAGGGAAAGGTAAGATCAGCCTCTTGTGGAAGGCTGCAGCTAAAAGAAAAAAATAATAAAAGGCCACTTTGATCTTTGTATTCTGACCTGATTGAGGACAGGGAAGAGCAAAGGAACCTAGCACTGGATGTGAAATTGGCAGGATAGTTACAAGCCTGCTTTCTAAACTTGCTGGATGGTTAAGGTAACAGAATGAGGGGACCAAGGGGGAATAGTGGTGAGGTGGTTTGGAGTGTATTCTAGATGAGCAGTCTAGTTCACAGAGACCCCTCTCCCATTTTTTTTTCTAGATGGGTCATCCATCTCCAGACATGTTTGCACTATGTGATAATATCCCTCTCAAAGTCCTTGGCCATGATTCACTGAACCATAGCTGGCCCCCTGACTTCAGTTAGACCAAACAGACTCTCTTGTCCTGGCTATTTAGAATTGGGACTTAAAGACAAGCATCTAGTGTTTCCATGCACCTTGAAAAGAAAAATGTGAGCTCAGGAAAATTTAGGGTAGCTTGTATTGACCATTAGGATTTGGGGAGCAGAGACCCTGTGATCTATGGTCTGTAGAAAAAAAGAAGGGTTAAAACAGATACGTAGAAGATAAAACAAAAACAAGACCGAGACAAAAGACAGAGGGAGAGTGCTCCCAGCTTTCTAGTCCCAGGGTACAGCCCTGTAGTAGCCTTAGAGCTGTTTCAGCCCTTGACTTCCATGAGATAGTCTAGATTTTGATAATTTCTCTCTTTTTGTTTAAATTAGAAAATCTTGTTCTCTGCTAATTGCCACCAAAGAGACACAGCATCATCAGTTCATCGATGACACACCCCAAATATTTGCTGCACTAACCCACTATTATAGATTGTCCTATTGGCTTTGGGTCATGTGTATTGTTAACATCCATATATACTTGTTATAAATGGAACAGATATTGCATAGGGCCAGTCCTGGTATAGATTGTGGAAGACTTTAGGTCACTTACATGACTTCCCAGACATATTTCCATACAGTTGGTGACAATGCCTGTTGAGTAGGGGTTTAAATACAAAGGTTGAAGTTTTTAGAAAGCCCCTGGATTATCTTGTCTCCTCATTTAATATTTTCAGAGGCTCTGAAAAATCTGCATTAAAGAGGAGGCTTAATTGAGGGCAATCCACAGCTTCTACTCCAAGGGCCAAAGTCACCCCATCAGTGGAGAATAATGGCAAGCCTTTCGCTCTATAGTCAAGATCCTCCTCTGGTATGGGAGATTCACATTTTGATAAAGCAGCATACATTTTTGTCCCAGAGCTTTTTCAATCTCCCAGCCTCACTACCTACCTAGTTCCCTTCAGTTAGAGTGAGCTAGACTTTAGCATCCCTGGAGAAAGGGGAGAAGTTCCAGCATGGCCTCGTTGACCTCAGCACCCTGCCTTAGTCAATCTGTACAGAAGCAGCCATGACTTAAGCAACCAACCACGGGCCTTTCAGAGTCATTGCCATGCGCTATGGTGTCAGGTAGGCTCCACTTGGAGTCCCATGAGGTTATTTAGGTCTATTGTTCAGTGGGATTCTTCCTCCTGACCTTTCACTGAGGAGTCCTGCTGGTGGATTGAGAGGAGGTGGTCTGGATGGAAGAGATACAGGATTCAAAATACGAGACTCTCCTTTGCTCTACAAACTGGTGATAAATAAAACTGAAGGGAGGGTCTCATCAGATCTTCTCTCAGTCAGGACATATTTGTCCATCTGTTAGCTGGGTTTGTTTCCTAGAGAAATGCATAGTCACACTTCTCTGCACTGACTTCCATGCTGATCACAATCCATATGAACTTGTTAAAGGGCTTCTACCAAGCTCTCTTGGAGACTGAACTCCTGCTCCCACCTGTGTCCCATCATTCCTCACAATACCTAGACCCCTGATCATTTTCTGAGACCAAGACTAGAAGAAGACTGTAAATATGAGACAGAGGTGAGGGTGGCTCAAAACTCAGCTGGAAAAAATACATACCCCAGCCCAAGAGATAATACCACCGCAGGTGTTGCTCCTCAGTGAACACGGCCACCACAATGAGTGTGTGCAGATAGATTCCTTCACAGAGCATCCAGAAATAATTGCATGCCATCATGTACTGGTGAAAAAAATGCAAAATCTTGCAGCTCAGCTGTCAGAAAGAAATGGAGAAAGTCAGTGGAAGATACTGGCAAGGGGATGACTGAACAGAGGGTAAATGTGAAAATAAGCCAAAGTATTTACATTCAGTGTGTGAAGGAGTTTTCCAAGCATCTGTGGACATGTGCTGCCTTCTATATCCACAAATCAGAATGATAGTGCCTAGAGCATTAGTATTACAGGTAAATAGCCATCTAGGGCAATGGAAGCCTAGTACTCAAAATGTTCTTTTCCTGTTCATTCTGGTGACTTATATAGACTAGACAGGTTGATTTCCCTTCAATATTTCTGAGGTCCATAATTTTTGAGAGCATCCAAGGGTTTTCCACATGACTTTTATGGCCCTTTATCTGTGGCTAATGAGGCATATAACCCAGAAATTGTTAATGATGCTCCTAAAGTTCATTGATCGTTGTTGATGTCTCGTTAGCAATACAGAGGAGAGAACCAAGTGATAAATTTCTCATATATGAGCCAGGAGCTATGCTGAACCCAACTGATGTAATTTTGTTTTCATATGGGAGGCTTAGCTTCTATATAGGATTCTAGCAATCCACATGTTTGGTGCACAGAGATTAGCAATACCATCCTTGCTTAGTACTCAATGCAAATGTAGGAGCCACATCTCTGGGGGAACCAGATCAGCCACATATTGTTGTCTGTATAGAAATAATCATTGTCTAAACTGTATAACAGAACACCCTAAATTATTTCATAGTCACCTTTAGAATAGGGCTTCTCATCTTGGCACTACAGATATTTTGGACCGGATGATTTTTTTGTTGTTGTGGGGTGCTGTCCTGTGCATTGTTGGGTATTTAGCAGTATTCCTGATTTCTGTCCATTAGATGCCAGTAGCATCCCCTACCCATTAATGAAACCAAAAATGTCGCCAGACATTACCAAATATAGCCTGGGGAGAAAAATGTTCCTGGTTGAGGATCACTACTCTAGGATATTTAGCTATGCTTAACTTTCTCTGACAACAATGACAACACCATTTACCATTCAAGATGTTAGGTTTTAGGGATGATTATTTGCATTATTATTTTACCAATTGCTCTGCTTTACATTATGTTGCTCCCTATTACATTTTGAATTTGACTGATATCAGGCTTTCTTTTTTACAAAGTAAGGTAGCTATAACATGACTTTCAGTGCTGCACTAACCTTTTCAGGACTGCACATTTCTATTTAATGCATAGCTATAATTATTTATTTATTGAAATCTAATGTTCTCAGTCCTTTGGGGACTCATAAAACAGAGAAAAGCCAGCTGGGTGCACAAGAAGGCAAATATTGCATTTTCAGAGACAGAAGCGACTTCTGATTCTGACCAAAGTGGAACAGTAGTGCAGAGGATTCAAAAGATCAGGTAATCCCAAAGTAATTTATATTTGACTTAGTAAGGCACTGACTTTTTCTTTTCACCTGAATACCTTCCTGATTATTTGATTTAATTTTATATTAGTTTGCATTTGTTTAGCAATACTTGCTAGGTGCACAAGGACTCAAAAATATAGGTGAAATAAGAAATTTAGTCGATATTCTGGATTCATCTTGAAGAATACTCTTATTTGAAAGCCCTATCCTTTCTGGATCAGAAATTCCAGTGTAGTTGCCTTGGTGGCTGCCACTTGTAGAGGAAGAGATAGGAAGAAGATAAGATGATAGCCTCGTGCAAATATGTGGCTTTTTGTCATCCAGAGCAGTTTTGGCTTCATGTTTTATATACAGTCAATCCTCACTATTCACAATAGTTATGTTCTACAAAGTTACTGCAAAAATTGAATTAGCAAATACTGAACCACTGCTCCTAGGGAAAATATAGGGTTAGGTTCCTACAAGCCTCTGGTCAAAATATTTTCATAAACCAATCAATATATAACTTTTATTTGTTTCTGTTTAAAGATACTTTATTTAATGTATATTGTTGATTTGTTAACTTTGGACTCATGGCCAACAACACTATAACTTATGCCTGAGGGGAACTTATCAAACATACCTATTTTTTTCTCTAAGATACACCACAGACTGCTTATACTTAGGAATATGACTGCTTAGGCAATGTGCTTGGGGACTATTTTAAGCAGTGAAATCACCAACAAAAAGCAAAAAAAAAAATGTGAAAAACATGGCATTAAATAGACCATGAAGAGGACATTTACACTGAGAGATGAAATAAGACAGAGTGTTGCCTTGTTCAACCTCAGCTGGGAACGTGTACATCAAGTGACTCTGTTTTCTGCTATTCTGTGCATGTTCATGAATGACCATGAAAGCACTGAGAATATGGATTTTGGACTTACAAATAAATTCTAGCAAGTAGGCAAATGTGCAAACATGGAATCTGAGAATAATGAGAATCAGTTGTATTTGGGTTAAGGGTAAAGTATTCTTTGAGGATAAATGGCTCAAAAGTTTACAGAAATTCTGGACATCACCAGTCTATTAGTTCCCCCTCCAACATACCATGGGCATAATTGGATATATCTAGATGATCAAGATGATTATTAAAATTTTTATAAAATTGGTCACCACTTAGATTAGTTGTTCATAATTGGGGTTATCAGTATCATCTGGGGAACCCTTACAAAATATTACATAACCAGACCTCATCTCCATTGTGTATTTTCAAAATATTTTAGGAGTTTCTAATGTAGGTTCCTAGTGAAGAATCATATGCCTGAGATATTCAAGGTCATTCAGTTGCATTCAACAATCATTTTTGGAGAACCTATGAGCCAGGAAGTATACTAACTCTGTGAATATCAAGATGAATAAGGCATAGTCATATAATCTCTGGCTTGATTACAACCTTTCCCTCAAGGATGGAGTAAACCAAGTATTCGATAGACAGATAGAGCCTCTTGTCTAAGGTTAGTCCTTCCCATCATTCTGGGTTGATTTTCTGCTTCGCAGCATGAGGTAATAAGATATTAACTTTGAGATCAAATAAGCTAAATAGCTTTTACTATTCTTTCAGGAAGCAGTCACAATACTGTAATTTTGTTTAGAGTAGTGATTTCCCAAATTGCAAGAAATAATCTATATTCGACTATAACTAGATCAATCCCAAATAAAAGAACAAATGCTCCAAGCCAAAGCTATATGGAATTTGTGAATTATGCTCTATTTTATTTTCTTCATTAATATGGGCAACAAAGAGATAATTCTACTCTGAATGATATGTATCCTAAGAAGTAAAAGCAATACTATCCCTTTGTCTTCAGATGAATTGTATCATCATTTACTGTTTTCATTTTGTATTGTATTTCTTTTTTTTTAAGATTTTATTTATTTATTCATGAGAGACACACACAGAGAGAGGCAGAGACACAGGCAGAGGGAGAAGCAGGCTCCATGCAGGGAGCCTAATGTGGGATTCGATCCCAGGACTCCAGGATCACGCCCAAAGGCAGGCGCCAAACCTCTGAGCCACCCAGGGATCCCCTGTATTATATTTCAATAACATAAAATTTGTTGAGCAATAATGTCAGTATCAAGAGAAGAGATCCTACAGTTTTCTTGATTAGGTACACTCATTAGACAAATCTATGTTTTCCATCAAATGACATAAAGAGCTTTTATAGTAATTTGATTAAAAAGATGAATAAGGTATAGTCTTTGTTCTTTGTTATAGAACAAAGATTTTCTATAGTCTAATAAATTAAGTCAACATCAAAGTTCTATAGAATGTTGATGATCAGTTGTGGATTTTATTCTAATTATGTCTCCCAACCCCACTTAAGAAAATTCTTCTCATGTGTATAGTGTAGAAAATATTGTGTGTCAATATGTTTAAGAATCAGTCAATGAGGGGCACCTGGGTGGCTCCACTGGCTAAGTGTTTTGGTTCAGGTCATGATCTCAGGATCATGGGATCAAGCCCTATATCGGGCTATACCCTCAGCTCAGAGTTTCCTTGGGATTCTTTCTCTCCCTTCCTTTGGCCCTCTCTCTGCTCACGCTCTCTCTGTCTCAAATAAATAAATCTCACAAACAAAACAACCCCCTTCAATGGAGGGAAGAATGCCTCCCTATGAAAACTGCTCTGCAATTTTTTGGTCTTTTAGAAAAACCAACCTTAGGACAGGTAGTCAGTGTTCTGAGGTGTTCTTCTGTTGTGCTGGGGATAAGGGAAGGATTTGGGGATGAGAAGTAGAAAGGAAATCAGCACTGATGTATGGAAGCAATGTAGGCAACAGTAGGTACCAGTCTGTATCCTACTTTTAAGCCACTGAAGAATCTACCATGAACCATTCTTGGTACCATTTGCCCTATGGGTATGTTACCAGGTCTAAAAGGGATCTAGGGAATACCATCTTGCCTCCCAGAACTTATTCCACCATCTTCATAATGTCTGAAATGCCACAGAATTTCATTTCTTTAGCTTAAGACTATTTTCCTTATTAAATGCCATACCTCTGGAAAGAATTACACATTTTACTCTATCATTCATAGAAATCTTAGAGTGATTGAAAACTTTAAAGGGAATGGGGATGGAGGACATGGGAAATACAGATTTGGAAGGTGGCATAACAAATACTTATTAATCTTGTATTGGATGCAGGCATTAGGCTGGAAGATTAAAGTTGTCAAACGCTGACCCTACTCCCAAGAAACTTAGAGTCTTGAAGGCCCAGAGAAGTGCTGCCAACAGTGGGCTTTCTCCACTGGAAATCTTTGGCAAGGGCCAAACCAGTGCATACTTCATTCACATAAACATTTTATATGTGACCAAAAACTCTTCTCTTTTACAAAAAAATCCTTGCAATATCTCCCTTTCATTGGTAAAATACAAAGTCAGGTGAATGGGTTCAGTTTCTGTATAAGTTCTGTCAAGTCAAAGATGCCACGTTTATTTCTAAGTCATGCTTTAAAGTAAAAAGTTTAAAGTTTGCTATAGGTTCAGAGTGATTTCCAGTGATTAAGCATGATTATTTATGTTTCCCTGAAGCTTCTAGAAATGTTTTCTCATCAGTTCATTTT